GTCTGTCTGTCTGTCTGTCTGTCTGTCTGTCTGTCTGTCTGTCTGTCTGTCTGTCTGTCTGTCTGTCTGTCTGTCTGTCTGTCTGTCTGTCTGTGGTCGGAGAGATTTCAGGTAGGTTTTTACACTCCCATCGACACAATTTACATCGTTTAGGAGATGGGCTTCGACTCTGCCTGCCAGAGCCAACCCGGACTGAAAGGGACAGAGTATCGTATTATTAGAAAAAAACGATGTACTCTATGAAAATGCTCCCAACACGCAAATCGAACCTAGGTTTCCTGCGTGCGACGGTGAAGCGCCTAACCGCTACTGGACCGCTACACTACAATCGCCAGTGATCAAAAATCTATCTTAACTGCCATGACATTCCTTATATGGTGGCCTTTCATCATGGCATCAAACGTTAAACCACAACTTATTTACAAGTTACGTTAAAAAGATATTATTATTTTGATGTTAGTCATAATTTCTAAAATTTACGTATTCTAACAAGAAATATACACATTCCATTCCCTTAACCCCCACCCCTCCATAACCTATACACATTCTGAAGATTGCGGGCTTAAATGCGTGCTTACACAGGCTCGTTCATCTTCAGTATGACCTGTGTGTTGGGAGAATTTTTATCGAGAATGACAGTTCATTCTATCTCACTTAGTCCGGGTTAGCCCTGCCAGGCAGGAACGAGACTGCCCGTGTCCTGAATGGTCTAGATTGTGTCGATGGGGGCGCAAAACATTTGCAATAATAATTACGAAGGGTCTCTCATCTTTGCCCACTCTAGGTTTTGAGTTAAAAGTCTCTACGATCACAAAAGCATTTCTTTGAAACCATACGCGCGCTCATATGACCTTACGCAGTTGCGAGCGCCGTAAAACCCTATACATGTACTACTACTGAAATCATAGCAGACAGTGTGAAGGTGGGAACGTGGGAGTGGGATTGGGAGTGGGAGTGGAAGAGTTGTAAAAGCCGATGAAAATGACAGTCGTAAGCTCATTTTCTTGTCATCTAAAAAAATCAAAACAACAACCATACATTAACTAGCTGAGTGCACGTTTGATAAACGGGTTGATAGATGTGTGCACTGTTATACATTGGAAATGTAAAGTATCATCTACAAAAAGATTTAGTGACTATTTTTATAAAGAACGCAAAGTATCACTGAACAAAAAGGAATAATTTATACATTAATTATCAATTGAAAGGTTGTCACTGTCAGTCAACGCAGCAGTAATTTCTGAACCTTACTTTTTTTTAAATTTTTTTTTTATTTTTTACTGTTTGTCAAGCATAAAATGAAGAGAAAAATACGATCTGCCTAACTTGTGCCAGAGCAATACTGTAGTCGCAGGAGTCTGCGGTGAAGTGGTTAGGCCTTCCGTTTTAATCCCCAAATGGGGTTTTCGTGGTCTAGTGGAAGCCTAACTGTGTTCGCCTGTCATTTAAAAGGTGCCGGGTTCGACAAGAGGACATGTTATTCAGTATCCCAGTCTGTCTGTTCTGGGATGTTGTATCCCACTTAGCTCGGATAGGTTACCCCTTCTTACAGTCACGGGATTGAAGCAGCCTTTTTCAGAAAAGCAAAAACAAAACAAAAAACAACAGCTAATAGTCAGCTAATAGTGAACAATAACAGCAATGATGGCGGGAACCCCAGCGCCATGTGGAGTATCTCGGGTTTTTCCGCTGGGAGTTGTATCTCTCTCATCCCGGGTTGGGCCTGAGGGGCAGGGTCAGAGCCAGCCTCCTAAATTATTTAAATTGCGTAGATAGGTTGGGGCGTAAAACATGAACGTAACACCCCCCCCCCCAAACAAAATAGATCTAGACCGAAGTCTGACGTACGTTGTCCGTTATCGCCGGGCTCCTAAACCCTCTAATTTATGTAGATGTGGGAGCAAACCACTATCTAAAATACGCCCCCCCCTCCCTAATACGGTCCAAATAAACCTAAAATAAAACGAAACAAAAATAAAACCCATAAACAGATCACCACCACAATCATCACCCACCACCACCACCACTGACAACAACAAAAACACCACCAGGTCCGGAGACAGTGGGCTCAAGGCTGCGGAGAACAGCTTACTTGCGTCTCCGTTATAGTTCTCTTGGGATGGCATTCATTTGGCTGTGTTGATGACTGACTCAGTCGACCAGGCGATTACTGAGAACCGCGATCCCGGAAGCTTGCGAGAAATCTTTTAGATTCTAACTCTTCCCACAACAAAGTGGGTTTTTTTTGGCATCGGACAAGGTTTATGCCGTAAATGAGACTGAATGAAGTACTTACTTTGCCTAATAAAGTATACGTTTGACTAAATTAGTAGATAGGCTACTCGGAATTTCATAACACCACCACCAATCCGTCAAACATGTGTAGAGAGCGAAATGACGTCGAAAGATTGAAGTTTTTGTTTTAGTAAGAGCTTCACAGCACTTGCAACGCAATACGGTCACATAAGTGTGGAAGATTAGAGGTGTTATAAGAGAGCAACTATCACAAAAAAGAAGGAAGGGAGATAAGGGTGACCGATGTTTGAAAGGAAAGAAGAAGCAAACTAAAACGGAGCACCCGCCAACGACAACAACAAAAAAAGAACGACGTGCAAGAAAATGGTGTCAGGAAAAAGCATAATATTATAATACACGTGTATACAGAAGGGTTGATGCGTTGAAAGATCGCATTTGTTTTTCATGGGAGGTAATACTTTGTCGACGATAGATCGTGAACTGGATTTGGAGAAAGAAAAATAGCAACAAAACAAAGCAAAATAAGCCCAAAAAATCTGTCTGAATGCTGTGTTTGTTAATTGATGAGCGGGGGAGTGACTTACAGTGTGTCTGATATCAAACCAGGTGTGTGTGT